TTGCAATATTTTCAGGATCAGACTCAATAAGATTAGTAAGAGTTAAAGGTTTAAATATATTTCCTTTTATTTACAATAGGCATTCTATATTCACTTAATATTCACAGATAGAAGCGAGGAAAAGTGTGCATGTAGCTCCTTATATATACAATGGGTGGAGCTATATGTGGAAGTGGTGAATTATGAATACATTAAGAAGTGGAGAATAAGTTAACCCCTGATACCCCGTTCATATACTATTTACACATTAGAGAATAAGGCATTTACATCTGACAAATATATTGTAGATGATAAATCCAACAAACAAAATGCCTTGTTAAAATAGAAAATACAAATCTTGGAATGAAGACTAGTATGCATAAACCAATTCTCAATAACCAAATCCTATATAATTAAATTATGTAAATACATTTAGATGTGTTATATTGCTTTGAATGGAGAAAATGGAATAAGTTATTTAAAAATATGTTTAAGTAGAACCAACATAGATTAGTGACCATTCAGTTACAAAGGACTCGAAAAAGGGGATTTACAATCTGCAGAGGAAGTTGGGCCTTCTCTGTGGTCATGTGACCAAACTTTGGGCACTTGGCAACACAGCCACATTTACTGCCATTTGCAACATCCAATGGTCACATAATCATGTCTTATTCATGTTTTACTGAAAGTTAGTAGTTCTGGTTTTCAGCAAAACTCATCTATTTAAAGCAAACCATTTGCTTAGTGACTGTGGCATTCACTTTTTGAAAACTGCAGTGTTTGCTTAATGACCTTTGAAAAAAACATCATAAAATTGGGTTAGTCACATGACCGACCTGTTTTACAATCGTCATGACTCACTATTGTAATGGGCAGGCTCTATTACAGTCATATATCAAGGACTACGCGTATGTTATACTCTTTTGCATCACATTTATTTTCTTCCATCTACATGAACTTGGCATACTCATTTCAACTGAAGAGATGTATCCCTAGATATTTAAGAGAGAACAATTTGTAGGAACTACATTAATAGTTGATATAATTCATTTTTAAAAATTGTTATTCCTGCTTTATAATTTAAAAAAAAAACTCAAGGTGAGAAACATACCTAATATTCTTTCCTCCTCCTGTTTTCCCCACAACAACAACCTCATGAGATTTCCAGCTGATGTCGCAGCAAGATCGGACACAGAGAGCGGGTCTACATGCTCCCATGCTGAGTTCCCCCCATTGGTAGGCTCCAAAAGAAGCCAAAGCCGCCTTGGAGGGGCAGTGAAGCAAAGAGGGACACCCTGTGAGGTCTCGGAGAGTCGCAGCTCTCCTGCTTGACCTGGGGCTTACTTTCCCTCTCATCCACAACGAGGAGAAGAGACAGCCTAAAATGGCTGCCACAAAGCTGGGACAGCTGATGACCACCTAAGCTTTGAGCTGGAGCGGATTTTGGTGAACAGTGTGGAACTGGGTGAGAGGATTTTTTTTACCCAAAAGTTAACCCTAAAAGAGAAATAGGATTTACTCAGAACCATTGAAAGCGGAAATCAGACACTTTGAGAAAATTACCAGACTGGAAGGAAAGGATTAAAGAGAGGAAAAAAACTTTTTTTTCTTTAAAAACATAGGTAATTGGACTTTTAAATTGGGAAGACGTGACATTGGGAAAGCAATTTAAAATAAAATATTGGAATTATGGATTTAAAAATTAACATTGGTTCTATAATTGAATTACAATTTATAATAATTAAAATCAAATTTTTAGTAATAGTGAAAATTAACCTAAGATTGCCACCTGCGGATTAAAGGAAAATATACAAGCCTGAGAATACCCATTTAAAGGACTGTGAAAATATTTACTGGACTATATACATCTACCCTATGACCACTGGAGATTTAAATGTGAGAACAAGGAAGATATTTAATTAAAGTGACCCCTGAATGTTAAGTTATTTGATTGAATCTAGAAACATGACTCAAAGAGGCTTGGACAACTCCCTGTAACTCCCACTATAAATGGACCAGACTATTTATGGAACTTAAAGAACTGTGATCAGCGGATACTTTGAAGAGTAACTTCAGTTTGGAATAAATGGTTCTTGGGCTATTGACTAAAAGTGGAATTTATTAAAACAAGATAAGATGCAAAGGAAGGAGCAAACGAGCGGAACTTTGATCGAGATGGAGTTGATGTTTCAAAGCATAAAGGATATTTACACAGAAAGAGCACAAGGCAATGATGGAATTAATGGATGGCATAGGTCAAAAATTGGAAAACATCATACAAAGGACAATGAGTAATGAACAAGATGTCCAGGAAAGGAAGGAGCTAGCAGAAGGAATTGAGAGAAAAACAGAATTGAGGAATCAACGGAAAGAAGATAATGATGAATCATTAATAAAATTAATAATGTTTGATGAATCAAACCAGGGGGAAAATATTTTAAGAGATCTGAAAAGAGAATGGGAGGAGCAGGAAGAAACTTTGGGAAGGGAGCTAGGTGTTAGGGCTGATAACTTTAAAGCTAGACAGTGGAAAAGGGTAGGGATGGAAGAAACACTTAGATTGACTAGGCAGGATGTAGACACAGATACAGACAGAGATAAAGATTTAAGAGAAGAATATGAGAAGCAAGTTAAAAAAAGAATAAGAATTAAAGTATTGATTATTATAAGTATTAAAGTATTGATATTTTTATTATTATTATTATTATTATTATTATTATTATTATTATTATTATTAATTGAATTTGTATACCGCCCTACTCCCGAAGGACTCAGGGCGGTGAATAATTCTATTCAGAATAAAAAAAAAAACAAGTACTCATGCAGGACGTCATTAATTAATTGCATAAATACCCTGCAAACCGAATGGCATGACCTGGAATTTATAACTGCCGAGTGGACAGTTAAAAGTGGTTTTCCATTTGTCACCCGGCTTAATACGAACCCTATAATATGCCTCCTGTAGGTCTAGTTTGGTCCTTAGCCTCTTGTGGCTAAGGTGGCCAGTAAATCCTTTATCAGTGGCAGGGGGTATAAAACTCTACACTAACCACATTCAGACCATGAAAATCAACACAGAGGTGGAGACCTCCATCCTTTTTCTCCCTAAAAAGGACCAGAGCAGCCATTTGCGCCTGACTAGGTTGAATAAATCCTTGGGCCAGGTTCCTAACTATATATTTACGTAGCTCCTCCAATTCTTTTGGGGTCATCGAATACATACATGGCTTTGGCAGCTTAGCCCCAGGTACCAGCTCTATAGCACCGGTGCATAATGTGGAACTCCCTGGCAATCCAGTTGGGTTTAAGCCAAGGTCCCAGTTTTGTGTTGGTCTGGCTACACCTCTGAAACGGAATTCCTTCAAGCCGACATCCAAGTCTATGGCCGCTTGAAACCAATCAGTAAGGTGTGGTGGTAGACCTCTATAAATACAGGCCTGTCTCATGGCGGTGTGATAAAAAGCACTACAAGGCGAACACTCGTAGCACCAACTTTCTCTCAGCCCTCCTGGACAAAACGAATTCAGCAGACACAAAGCACACCGAAACAATTCTATTTGGGTTGCTAATGCTGGTTTAATGCTGTCGCTAGCTCCAAGGAATTGCTGAGTTCCAAATGATTTAAAGTTGGCGCTACGAGCATTCGCCTCGTAGCGCTTTTTATCACACCGCCCTGCCCAGCCGTCACTCCCCCGCCAAACCACTTCCGTCAGCTGTAGAGCGCCTTCCAATGCATCGCCCACACGCCGTATTGGTATCAGTGTCAGCGGTCCCCGTCCCACCTGTCACTGATGCACCCCGTGTCCCTGAACTCGACTGCCTACACCCACTGTTACCGTCACCACCCTTGTGAACAAACGCCTGCTCAGTATATCAAGTCATTCTGGGATTCTCCACTGCTCTTCCTTCCCATCCCTGTGTTGTCGAGGGATGGAATAGAATTCTTGCAATAGAATTAATTTGTATGTTTAAATAATATTGTGATTGGTATTAGAATTGCATATTTAAATATCGAACAATGAAATAATGAGGAATAGTATTGTAAAAAGGGAACGTCTTTTAATATAATGGTCACATGAATATAAATTAGAATAAAGACAGAAATAAAAGGAAGAGGGAATATTAGTATACACATTTTTATAAGATAAGATAAATGTAATGATAAGAGAGAGGTTTAGAAATTGAACAGCAGTAGTATTATGTATGTTTAACAATATGAAATAATGAAAGATTATAATTTGATATAAATGTGTATTACTATTAGAAATATATAAACTGGATTAATGTGATAACTATGATTAATAATATTATTTTATTTGTACTGAAATGTATGGCACCCTTGTGTCACACTGTTCACGCATTGATATGTATATGTAATATAAAATAAAAAAATTGACAAAAAAAACCCAACAACCCCTCATGAAGTTAGAATTACTAGCCACAAATCACCCAGTCAGCTTTCATGCGTAAGGAGGAACTAGCCTGATACCTTAACCATTAGTCCAAACTAGCTCTCAATTTATTGTATACCTTGAATATCTACCATATTAGCGAACATTTGATTATTGTGAGTTTACGGCTTTGAAATAGACTTCCTAAAAATGATGACTCAATTAGGGAATTGTAGATTTTTTAAAAAAGGATTTCTTACTGACAAATAAGAACTCCTTTACTTCACTTGATTTCCCTTACACTGAACATGAATATGTAATGGAAAAAGGTGAACTGTGCAACATATTCTGTATAAAGCAAGGCCTACACATAAACATTTCAGTTATGGAGTAATTTCAGTGTTAAACAGCAGTACTTTCAAGGACAATACAGTGTGGTGGTGTCCAATATACCCATATGCAAATTCGCACTTAATGAAAGGGTAACTGGATAACTATGTCTATCAACTCAATCCATCTCATAAAGTTATGGGAATAAAATGAGTGGACTCCCAATGTATGATGCCTTGATCGCTCAAGAAGTTATGTAATAAAAGCTATAATAAATTCATACATAAACAACAATAGTACCTTTGAAATCTTCTTGAGACTGAGGCTCATCATGTGAAGCAGTTAGATCTGAAGTGAATGAAATATCTTCCTGAAATGTTTCAACGTGCTGTCCATTCATAAATATATTGATCTGGAAAAATATACATTTTGATTTAAACAAGAAGATAGTCTAATGCTATAAATATAAAAATCTACGATAGTAGGAGCAATCTGTAAACCTGTACAGTTACCCAATGAACATCTGTGTCAGACCTGCCGCAGGTAGGTCCCTTAGGAAAGAAAGACCCTTGAATCCATTTGTCCATTATATATGCCCCCCTCTCCCCCTAGTCTTTGATGGCAGGATGCCAGTGAGGTGCCAGACTAAAGATGGCAGACCTGACATACTGCCGCACTTGACAGAGACATTAGTCATGTAAAGAAGACAAGAGGGGAGGGAGAGACACACATAAAAGGCACAATTAATTGAATGGTCATCGAGGCTTATCCAGATATTGTTCGTGGAACTTTTTAAGCTGTCTGGATGCTTTAACGTGTTTGGAATTAGCCCAATTGGTCTCTGAGGGAGGGAAGTCTTTCCACAATACTAAATACTGAGTTTTCTCTCGAGAGAAAACAAGAGTCCAATATGTCTTTAACCTCAAAGTGCTGTTTTCCCTTGATCATGATGGGATTGGAAGATGGTTGCGATTCTGGGCATAGGGAAGATGCGATTTCTGATTTTAGAAGGCTGTAATGAAAACCAGATGCAGGGGCCTAAGATTTTTTGGTAATTTGAGTTTAACAGTCACTGGGTTGATAGCTTTTTTTATGGGAAACTTTGGGCCCAGTTTTTTGGAGGGTTATCTCTATTGTACGTACTTGGTGGATAACTAGACCTTGTCTCAGTGGTGAAATCCAATTTTTTTTACTACTAGTTCTGTGGGCAGGCTTGGTGGGCGTGGTGTGGCTTGGTGGGCATGGCTTGGTGGGCGTGGCAGAGGAAGGATACTGCAAAATGTCCATTCCCACCCCACTCTAGGGGAAGGATACTGCAAAATCTCCATTTCCATCTCACTCTGGGGCAAGCCAGAGGTGGTATTTGCTGGTTCTCTGAACTACTCAAAATTTCCAGAACCTGTCAGAACCTGCTGGATTTCACCCCTGTCTTGTCTCCAACTTTAAAGTCCTTCAGTTTTGTGCGTCTTTTGTCAGCTTGTTTTTTATATGCTTTCCGCTTCTCCTCTAAAGTTTTCTTACTACTGGCCAAGTATTTTGTAGTTGGGTGACCCACTCTTAGGTGGTTGATGGGGCGGTCTGGAGCAATTCAGGATAGACACAGAGTTCTGCCCCATGGGGTGAAACCATTGCTGCTGTGCACTGAAATATTGTAAGCAACCTCAGCAAAAGGAGGAAGGTCCACCCAACTGTCTTGTGGATAATTAATGTAACATCTGAGTTATTACTCCAGGACTCCATTTATACCTTCACAGGCACCATTAGTTTTTGGATGATGCGATGAAATAAGCCCCTGAGTGGTCTCCAGAAGTTCTAAAAACTCTTGCCAAAACCTTGAAGTGAATTGGACCCAGTGATCTTAGATGATCCTCTCCAAGGCTCAATGTAGCCTGTAATTGTGATCCACAAATAATTTGGCCAAAGTGCAAGTGGAGGGGATTTTTTTGACAGGGCACAAAGTGCACTTGCTTGGAAAATAAGTCAGTTATCACCCAAATCACTGGGTTTCCCAAGCTTTCAGGCAATTCCACTATAAAGTCTATTGAAAACTCTTTCCAAGGGGCTTTAGACTCAGCTATGGCTGGAGCAGTCTTGGTATTTTTCCTTGTTGCTTTTTGGTACAGGCATAGATAGGGCAACTAGCTACATAGCTCTCTATGTCTTTCTTTAGCAACAATGGCCATCAAAACTGGTTCTTAACTAAGTGTGAGGTTTTAACAAAGCTGAAGTGTTCTGCTACTTTTGATTCATGGCTTTTTTGTAAAATCAACAGTCATTGGTACAATTTGTCTCCCACCCAAGCTAAACCATCTTGTATTGTATATTCCCCCTTATGGGCTTGGAACTACTTGTCCTCCTCTAGTGCTGCTTTCACAGCACTCATTAGATCTTCAGCTGCTTGGGTTTTTAGTTTAGCTTGTGCTTTGACGGTTACTGGGGCCGCCAACTGCCTGGATGGGATAACTGGTTTAATTCCTTCTGGTTTTGAGCAATTATATTGTGGCAGCCTGGATAAGGCATCTGCTAGGAGGTTCTTCCCCCTGGGAGATATCACAGCATGAAATTGAATTGGTTAAAGTATTGAGCCCAGCTAACTTGTTTGGGCAATAATCTCTGGGTTTTTTTTTCAGGGCCTCTAAATTTTTATGATCAGTCCTCACTTCAAAGGTTCCCCCCACCCCCCCTTCCTAAGAAATGCCTCCAGGTTAGGAGCACCCAGCGCACTGCATATGCTAAACTGCCCATCTACATTCAGTTTCAGTAAGCTTTTTGGAAGTATAGGCACATGGCTGCAGGACCCTCTGCTCATTTTTCTGCAGGAGCACTGCCCCCACTGTGACATCACAAGCATCTGCTTGAATAACAAAGGGGGCATTGGAATCTTGATGCTTCAGCACTTCCATGAACAGGCATTTGACTTTTTTGAATGCTGCTTGGCATTCCTCCCCCTTTGTCTTTAATAGGTTGGTGTTAGGAAGGGCAATCTGAGTGAATGATGGAATGAATTGGTGAAGTTCGCGAACCCGAGCAAGCTTTGTAGTTGCTTCTGGGTGCAGGGAGTGTCACTGCGTTTTTTTTGTGTTTGCCAGCTGTGCTTGAATTCTAAGACTTATGGTAGATGCTGGGCACCTTATCTCTAAGCTACTGCGCATGTCCACATTCTTTCTTCATGTTCCTTCTTTTTTCTAATTTCTTTGTTCACCTGCCAAGAGGTAAGGCAGAAACACTGCCAAGATGTAATTAATAGCTAGTAAGATTGTTTTTACTTCTTTATAATAAAATGTGTTTCTTAGAATATATCCCGGCTTATTTTCTCTTAAAGTATGCTTCAAGGAAAAGCCACGATCCATCTCTAATTAAGTGCAATTACCCCAAAGGGGAACGGGATTAATTGCCACCCTGACACGGAGGAGCCCACTGCAAACATTGCCCACACCTTCTCAGGAGCCATTTCTATTCCTTCGTGGGAAATGTGGTATCCAAGATAATTAAATTTGCTCTGGTGGAATTCATATTTGGAGAGATTGACATACAGTTGGGCTGCTTGGAAGTTTTTGAGCACTGCCCTGACCAATTTTACATGATTTGCCATAGTTTCAGTATAAATCAAAATATCATCAAGATTGACCAAACCTAGGACTTCCGGTTTGCGAGCTTCGGCGACGGCGGTGACTTTTTAAAGACCGCCAGCCCCGCCGCCTGTAGAGCCGCCCCGCGAACGAGGTGCGGCTCGAAAACTCCGAAATCTTGAAGATTGCAGGAGCAGAGACAGCAGGGTACAGGTTGAGCCCCTGTAACCCCCCCAGGGAATTGCTTCTGGGGGTGAAAACAGGTGTGGCTCCCTTCCAACCTGCGGAGACTCCGGGCGGCGTGGGACGATTCTGCCTTCAGCAGAACAAGCCGGCAGCAGCAAACTTTTAAAGTGAGAGGAATTAATTTTAACAAACAGCGGAAATATCAACTTGAATCCAGAAACTTGAAAACTGCAAGTATTGGTGCTTTGTTGACTTTTTAAATCAAAAGAGAAAGTGAGCGAGTGAAAGTGATTTGAAAAAATATGGCGTCCAGCGTTTGAGTTAACGAGCTAGTGAAAGTGGATTTGTGAAGCCTCCCTGCTTTGCTACAAAGTTGTAAAATTGCTACAAAGTTGCTCTATCTAAAGAAAAAAAATTTTTTGCTAAAATTTGACTTTGCTTTATTCTAGTTCCACCTGATTAAATCTGGGGGACTTTTTTAGAAGTTTCTGTGGAAGAGGGAAAGGAAAAAGAACTTCCCTCTTCAAAAAAACTAGCTTACGTGGCACGATGGCTTCAAAGAAGCAGGAAGGGAAGGCATCAGGGGGGGGATCCCCCACATATAAACATCAAACGCAACTTCCCCCTGCTCAACAGTTACAAACTCAGAAAAAAGAATTTGATGTGGCAGATTTAAAAGAATTTATTTCTAAAACTTTGGATGATAAATTTCAAGAATCACAACAGGAGATAGATGATAAACTTCAAAAATCACATCAGGAATTTTTGCAGGAAATTAATGAAGTTAAAGACATGGTGAAACAGAATCAAATTATGGTGACCAAAAAAATATCAGAAGTGGCGTCTGGCCTGGCAGATTTTATTGGGAAAGTTGATTTTAAAGTTGAAGAATTTAAATCAGAAGTTAATGTTAGGATGAAAGACAATGATTATAAAATTGATGAAGTTGACAATAAAATGCAGAGAATTGAAGATGAGATTGTTATGATACAATTCCGGGCGATGGAATTTGCCATACGGCTTCGGGGAATTCGAGAGGAGGAAAGACAGGACTTGAGACAAGTTTGCTCTGAAGCCCTGGCTAAGATTTTACAAGTTAATCCTGATTTGGTATTTCATAAAATAGATAAAATTTACAGAGTGAACTCTTGGGTGGCCAGGCAAAGACAACTACCCAGAGATGTGGTCATATACTTTACTGAGAGAGAAATTAGAAATGATATCCTGCAAAAATCTTTTCACACTTCTATACAAGTGGGGGGCTCACGGCTTGTAATTTTTAAAGAATTACCTCCTAAAATGCTGAAAGCTAGAAAAGAATTTGGTTTTCTTGTTAAGGAATTGAAAAATTTACAGATACCCTTCCGGTGGGATGCACCAGCTGGGGTAATTTTCAGATATAAGGGAGAAGGATATCGGTTGAATACCGTGGAGAAGGCGCAACACTTTTACAGTACTATTCTTAAGGAAAGAACACCATCTCCACGTACATCTACAGTTCTGGAGATTAAGGAGAGTGAAGAGAGGCAATTGAAAGAACAGTCTAAGCAGGAATTAGAAAACGTGCAAGGTGCAGAAGGAGGTATTCTGAGTGAGCCATCGCTGGATTCTTCTCCAATTTTGGATTTGATTCAGTTGACTGAAGTTAAAGATCAAC